AATTTGGGCATACCGTAGATTGTGATGTAGAAGCAGAATGCCTAGCATGACTCTTCCCCAAATCAACCAAGAGTATACATGTTTACAGTGAAAGTATCCACAATGCTGGTTCTGTAGAAACAAGTGACAATATCAGTATCTTTATCCTGCCCTATAAATCTTTATTTTCATGTTTTATTCTATTGTTAAATACTTTTTTAAAAAGATAAATGAAAGATGGAGGCTTATTTGAAGCATGGTAGGAGTTATGTAGGCATAGTAATGAATAGGCAGATATTTCTTAAAAACCTGTTCCTGAGTTGGGAACAATCTAAATCTGAGCTATGCAAGAAAAAAAAATCAGTCCTAATTAACCTGCAAGTACAATTGCACTCTTAGCAATTAGAATTCAGCAGTTATATACCACCGATATTGTTGACTAAAGTATGCCAAACCTCTGTTTCTAGTCTCAGTTGTCTTTGTCTAGAAATCTTCAAATGCAAAGTGTAAAATCCTGTAGTACCCTATGCATTTCATTAGGTAAAATAAACATTCTTTTTTTTTTGTTTCAGGTTATAGGATTACTAGATGTTTTTACACCTGCAGCATCAATAGAAAATTTTAACGAAGTGTAAGTAAAGTTTGAAATAAAATTGATAATTGGCAAGTTACTGGGACATGTAGCATTGGCATTAGATAGCCAAAATCAAATGTTTATAAGTAGAATTAATTTCAGTGATATAATGAAGTATGTGGTTAACTTTTTCTATTGCATCCATCAAATCTCATAATATTTAATTGTGATGAAGTACACCTATCGGAATACAGTTTTTGGATATGAAGAACCTTAAAAGGGATTTTGGCTTGCTACTGGAAGTAGGATGTTATAAGATGAATCATCTTTTTGTTTAATCTTCTTTTGTAAAGGCAGTAATTTTAAATGTTTTTAAAGAAATGTTAAATGGATTAAGATGCTTAATAAAACAACTCACTTAGAGCAGGTGTCCCCAACCCCCATTTGCTGACCGTACTGGGCCACAGGCACGTAGGAACTGAGCCACGCAGCTGGAGGTGTGCTGAAAGTGCGTCTTCCACCTCCAGGAATGCGGCAAGTCTGCAGAGATCTGGGCAGGGCGGGAGGGTGGCAGGGCAGAAGCTGTCTTGCTCAGTGCAAGGTCCTCCAATGGCTGTGCTTGCAACTGGTTTGCAACATCTAAGCTCCGCATCTTTCCTCCTCTCCCTCCTGCTGCTTCTGCCATCTCTTCTTCTGCCTCCTCTTCCTGGTCCTGCTCCCTCTTCCTCCTGCTGCCTCCTCCTCTTCCTCCTCTTCCTCCTCTTCTTCCTCACTTTCTCTCTCTCTCTCTCTCTCTCTCTCTCTCTCTCTCTCTCTCTCTCTCTCTCTGACAAAAGCAAGCAAGTAGTAGCAATAGTAATAGGTGCCTTAGATGTAATCCCAAAACAACTGGAGCACCACTTGAACACCATTGGCATTGACAAATTGACTTTGAACACCATTGGCATTGACAAATTCACCATCAGTCAATTGCAAAAGGCAGCTTTATTTATTTATTTATTTATTTACTTGCTTATTTATTTATTTATTTCACAGTACAGGAATTGTGAAATTGACTAGAAGGTGGGGCTTGCCTATAAGAGTGCCTTGTTGAACTCTACTAGTAAGCTTCAATGTTGAATAAGGGAAGGCAAGAATTCCTATGAATGAGAAAATATTTATATCCTAAACGTGTAGACTTACAGCAGTACAAACTGCAAAGTGTAAATTGTATAGTTTAAGTGGTGCTGTAGCTGAGCTGGTAGAACATACAGTTGGCAGCTTGAGGAGAATTTGTCCTAACTCACTTGTGTGATGAGGAAGTTGGATCCATGCAGTTGCCATTTGTGGAAGACCCTTAGGTATAAATTGAGACATTCCATGGAAATATCAATCATCTTATTCAATTGAGTCTAGAGCTGAATCCTCCATTGATGGGACATACTTAACACAAGCAGTAAATTACTTCCAGTAGTATATATTATAATGGTTTTCTTTTCTGAGCCAAGGTGGGATGTGTCTTGAAAGAGTAATTGGGAATCCATTGCCTGGTAATTTATATAGCCAGAGTATTGATTAGTGGTCCCTTACCTGGGTTAATAAATAAATAATATCTTGACATTTTATTCTCCTAGATCAGCAGTCCACAAACTTTTTGGCACCAGGGACCTGTTTCATGGAGGACAATTTTTCCACAGATGCGGGGGGGGGGGAGGTATTTGGTTCTGCTCCCTTGACTGCTGCTCATCTCCAGCTGTGCGGTCCAGTTTCTAACAGGCCACGGATCAGTACTGGTCTGTGGTCTGGGTGTTGGGGACCCCTGTCTTAGATGACCTAACATTTATTTTTCAATATTACCCTGTATGAGCAGTGAGAAATTTATGGCTATCCAGATACGTATTTCTGGAATCTAATTTCCATCATATCTGATGACTATTTTAAATACTAGGTTAGAGAGGAATTGGAGTCCTAGATAACCTTTGCTTTGAGATAACCTTTCCTCTCTGAAGCAGTTTTTTAGAGGGTGAGGGAGGTTACACTATCCCTTGCCTTTGTCCTTCTCTTGTATACTATTGGCTTAAACCTCCACCAAAATCTGTGTACCAGAGCCAAAAATTTCCTTCTAACAGGAGAAAATCTTCTTTACATCAGAAGTGAACCATTGAATCTGATTTCACAGTTGTGTTTAATTACCTCTAATTTCCCTCTATCAATTAAGATTTCAGATTTGGCCATTAATCAGGCCTAGTTGTATCAAATGCTTGTAAGATCCATAGCCTGGAAATTTAAATTGTACTAGTGGAATATATACAGTTATAATAAAGTTTTCAAAGCAACTCTAAAAGCAATTATGGTTGAAAAATGATTGAATCTATAAAACCATTAGAGCTGTAATTAAAAAGAAAACCTATTAAGACTGTTAACTCACTGAGGATTACTTTGCAGTTAACAAGAAATTGTACCATAAATGTGTTCATAATCTTGGTTTTGATTTGCAGGTATCTTGTCACCAATTTAATGGGTGCTGACTTGAATAATATAGTGAAATGTCAAAAATTGACAGATGACCATATACAGTTTCTTATATATCAGTTACTTCGAGGACTAAAGGTAAAGCTACCGGGACATTTCATTTAATTATTTATTTAACAGTATTTGTAGTCCACCGCAATCCAGTAGGACTTTGGGCAGTCCACCACACCATACATTCAAAGCAAAAGGAAGACAAAGTTCATATACAAATAGTAACAATCATCATTCGAAATCTTATGAATGAAGGCAAATATGCATGCCCCAGGATTATGCTGCAGGATCCAACCTGGGTCGGTCACCGGGACCACTGGAGAGAAGTTCCTTGAAGATGGATTCCAGCATGAGTTGAAAGCTCAGAAGACAAAACCTCTGGTACCAGCATGTATTTGGTCTTCAGTTTAGGGTGGCTGTATACATGTCCCAGGATAGTGCGGTAGGATCCAGTCTAATTTTTGAAGATGCCTATAGAGTAGGACAGACATGTCAAACACAAGGCCCGGGGGCCAGATGCAGCCCGCGAAGTAGTTTCATGTGGCCTGCGAAGCCATCCTGGAAACAGTGAGGGAACGGCCCGCGCTGCCTTGGCCCTGGTCCTGGCCAGCCAGGAGCCAATGTACAATTTTGTGGTGGCCATCTTTGCTGAAACGTATTCAGTCTTAGCTCCACAAGGCTCAAGGGCCAGGCTGGGCATTTGACCTCTGCTGCCCAGGGCTCTGGTCAGCCCGTGCCACCATCCAGCCCCCCCCCCCCCCGCATGGCCTGAGAGGAACAGTGAGGCTCCTCCAGTGGACCATGCCTTGGCACTTGCCCTGGTCTCACCCCCTTCTGCCAGAGACCCTCAGATCTGTCCCACTCCTGCCCAGGCACCCTTGATGCGAACGATGTAGAGCCACACCCACTCCATGCCCACCCAGTAGGCCGCACTCACCCTGGCCACACCCACCCGGCCCCCCGAGGGCAACCACAATGCTGATGCGGCCCTCAATGAAATTGAATTTGACACCCCTGGAGTAAGAGTCATCTGCACCTCCAGTGGGAGAATGTTTCATAAAACCGAAATTCCAATAAAACTGGAACTTTTTTTCTTTTTCTTTGTGCTGTCCTTATTGTTTACAGCTACAAGTAGCCTTAGACTTTTTCGGAGTTATAACGGCAATGAAAAAAACTGACTTATCACTGGTTTTCACAGTTATGACCATTGCAGCATCCCCATAATCATATGAACAAAATTTCTGCACTTGGCAACTGGCATGTATTTATGATGGTTGCAGTATCCCAGGGTTATGTGATCACCTTTTGTGACTTTCTGACAAAGTCAATGGGGAAGCCAGATTTACTTAACAACCATGTTACTAACTTAACAACTTCAATGATAACAACTGTGGCGAGAAAGGTTGTAAAATGGGGCAAAACTCACTTAACAATTTTATTGCTTAGCATGAGAAATTTGGGGCTCAATTGGGGTCATAAATCGAAGATTACCTGTATAGGGTATTTTTTAAAAAAAAAATTTTTTTGAAAGGAATTGGAAATACATCTTTCAGTTGCTAAATTTTAACTCCACTGTGTAAACTGACACCCAATGAATTAATAGTCACATTTACTTACTTGAGACCCTCCTAGCAAAAACTGTTGAATCAAATATTTAATGCTTTTTATATCAAGGGGTGCTGTTTATTTATCTTTTTATTTTATCCTTTATTCATCTATTAATTACAAAATGAAATTAATTACACTACAGTGCTTCTCCTTACAAACTTGAGGATTAATGATCTAATTTAGAAAGATATGGAATGCAAAGCCTGCCATTTCAACATTACTTTATCAATTAATTAATTAAATAAACTTGCATAACTGTGCATCTACCAGAAGGAATTCCGGGGAGCAAACAGGTTAAAAATACAATACTCTAAAAATAAAAAGACTATTTAATGGTATAAACAATACAGTTGTTGTCCCAAGAAAACTCACATTCATCTATCAACCACTATGCCAGCTCCATCAACATCCTGGCCCCAGTGCCTTGGGAAAAGCCAAAGTCTTCATTGCATTCCTGGAAGCCCACAGGATCAGGACCATTCATACTTTCTGTCTCATATAGCAACTCTGTTCAGTTTCTAAATGAGATATAGATGGGAGGGAGGGAGGGAGAGAGAGAGAGATGATGGAGAAAGAGATTGAGATTTCCCTATGTTCTTAACAATCATTACAATTCTGTATTTTGAATCATGGAAAGTTGTTTCATAAGGCAGGCAGTATGATGCAGAACATACTATTATGTATTGAGTCATATTTTGACTTGGAAATCAATTGATTTTTCCCTTTATTATATTGTTGTAAAACATATCTCATTATATTATTTTGGTAGAATGGCATTTATGTTGCACAGTATTGACTAAAGATTATTAATACTCTGATGTTTAGACAATTTAGACATCAAATCTTTTTGAATCTGATACTTGGAGGTTAGCTATGGCTATCCAGTAGAACTAAAAATCATAGAACTGAGTATTTGAAAAGAACCCAAAGTATAATCTAATGCAGTCCTCTGCAGTAAGCAGGAAGACCAATTTCTAATATCTGAACAAAGATATTTGTGCTTCTGCAGGACCCCAACAAACTGAGAACCAAATATGCTTTTGCTGTTCTGAAATGACTGCAAAATCCATATATATCCTCTATATTTATGCCCACAAATACCTACATAAGCAACATCCATTCCCATGGTGATGCTATGGTATTCTTGCTGATGAGTATTTTTTTTACAAGACACAGAATATGCAGCTTTATAGAGAAGAGTTTTTGTGGCTTTGAAGTTCCATGCATTTTGGAATAGGAATTAAAATAAGCCTATCAGCCATGAAATGAAGATCTGTTGTGGAAAACTTTACTCTCTTTTTCTTTCTCTGATTTCCAAGAAGAGATAGTTTTCTAACTGGCAATCTTTATTCTCAAGGCCCCTAGATTGGATTGCAAAGAGTGACGGAATTTGCACTTTAAAACACCATTTAAAATGTAACCCAAGTCCTTATTTGATTCGTTACTATGAGCAGTGCTTTTTTTCTAAAAAAAAAAAATAAATAAAAAGGTGCCGGAACTCACACACGTTATACAATCCGCCTTGCCTACCCTACAAGGTTCCATCAAAAAAGGTGCCGGAACTCTGTTCTGGGCGTTCTATGAGAAAAAAAGCCCTGACTATGAGTTTGTAGAAAGGAAATAAATGTAGCCTAACTAAATCTTTACTTTGTAGAAAAGTACGAGTCAAAGCAAATGGTTTCTGATAATCATGTTCATTCAATTCTATCTGATTTCTGATTTTGACCTTACCTGTTTTCTGTTCATGTTGCAGTATATTCATTCTGCTGGAATCATTCACCGGGTAAGTTTCAATCACTGATAAGATGCTTTGTGTACATCTCCACTGACTAGTTTCATCATTTTAAATTTAGCACTGTTTTAATAGTCTTCTCATTCTGATTCAGGACCTGAAACCCAGTAACTTAGCTGTAAATGAAGACTGTGAATTAAGGGTAGGATTCATGCTATTTTGATTATTGCAGTACTGTTTAGACCAGTGGTTCTCAACCTGTGGGTCGGGACCCCATTTGGGGTCGATCAACCATTTCACGGGGGTCACCAAGCAAGGCTGTCCCCCATTTTTTTCGTCCCCCATTTTTTCCCCCTTTTCCAGTGGGTGCCTTACCTCCCTTGGGCTGGGCCAGCTGGTGGTCAGCCTGCTCCGTCTCTGCCGCTTGCCAGCTACGCCTCGGCTGGCGCAGGGGGCGGAACCACGCATGCGCGGCGCTCCCGGGCAGGGAAAGTCCTCGACTTACGACCGGTTGGGTAGCCCTCGACTTACGACCGGTTTAGTCCTCGACTTAAGACCGGTTTAGTCCTCGACTTACGACCGGTTGGGGTCGCGGCATTAAAAAGGTTGAGAACCACTGGTTTAGACTGTATGTCTATGTCTGTCTGTCTGTCTGTCTGTCTGTCTATCTATCTATCCATCCATCCATCCATCCATCCATCCATCCATCCATCCATCCATCCATCTATCTACATATCTATGTATATCGAGTGTGTGTGTGTGTGTGTAGGTCTTGGCGTATTCGGGTCTTTTCCCGTGTAAGATTGAGAGTATCTTGGCGACGTTTCGACGAGGTCCCACTCATCATCTTCAGGCTGGGGTCTTCGGCTTCGTGCCTGTGCGAGCAAAGTGTGATCGGAGCTGCTGTCTCTCTATAAATACTGGTGGAGGTGGGTGGAGTGCTGGCTTAGTTGCTGTAGGTGGATTGGTTGGCTGTGTGGGAGCCATTGTTTGTGGATTGGTTGGCTGTTTCATAACATCCTGAGTAGTTGAGGTGCTGGCTGTGTGACCATTAATCTTTTGTGTTATAACGACCTGGGTAATGGGTTGTGTGATTACATCCTGAGATCTAGTGTAGTGATATCCTGAGTTTTGTGTTGCAACATCCTGGGTGGTTGGCTGTGTTGTAACATCCTGAGCTTTATCGTTGTAATCTCCTGAGTTCTGTGATGTGATGTCCAGAGCAGAAGGCTGTGATGTAGCATACTTACACGGGAAAAGACCCGAATACGGCAAGACCTGCATACCTGTACCCGTGAAAATCTACGAAAACAAATATATATATATAAATATATATATAGTAGGAAACTATATATATATATATTCACACACACACAGAGTATAGTGTTGCTATTTTCCCCCCTGCTTCATCCTGATGTTGGAAAAGGAAAAATAAAGTGTCTTCCAATTCATTATCTATTATTCCCTAAGCTAAATAAGATTTACAGAAAGCGTGATATTCATAGAATTATCTAATTTTAAAGTGCTAGGAAGCATCTTGATTATTAAATAGGCTGCTCTGGAAGTTTTGGTTCTTCATTCATAACAGTAATTGCATCTAAAGTAATTGCGCATAGCTGCACATCAGGCCTTGCAGGTATAAATGAAAGAATTGATACATACAGTATCTACATTGCTTGAATTAAAGCCTAACCTTTGAAAAGGAAGATTAAACTGCTATATATATTAGCAACAAATAGGAATCTCCTGAACAGATGACAAAATTACTACTGATTTTTTTTCTGAATTTTTATACCAAGAATTGAAATTCTGTTTTAGGACATGTCACTTAATAATGTTTGTACCCCAATTTAGGTAGTAATGCACAATAATGTTTTCTCCAAAGATAAATATGGGCATTGATAAGAATATAAGTAATTATATAATTAAATAGAGTCAGTTTAAAAATTTTCATCACTTGCATACTGTTTCATGGAATGTGAAAACTTGGCAAAAGACAACAATCTGAACAACAAATCAAATCAACCTTTATTGTCAAAGTACAACATGTGTACAATGAGATTGGCTAAGCCTCCCTTCATGCACCCCCCCGACACAACAAACACACAATCTTATTACACCACGTGAATTTATTGCACAACGCACCGACCCCGCAAGTCTATCATACATGGGGTTATTTACCATTCAGGAGTCTGGCAGCCCGTGGGTAGAAACTGTTCTTCAGCCTATTGATGTGGCTGGCTATGTTTCTATATCTCCTGCCCGATGGTAGGAGAGTAAAGAAGTGCTGACCAGGGTGTGAGTTGTCCCTGAGGATTTTCCTCACTCTTCTAAGGCCCTAGCGATGTTGTCTAGTGGTGTCAGGGGACAGCCCACAATGTTTTGTGCTGTGCTCATCACCTTCTGTAATGTCTTTCTATCCGCAGCTGTCAAGCCAGCATACCACACCATAATGCAATGTGAGGGGACGCTTTCTATAGTGGACCGGTAAAAGAAGGTCATCAGTCGTTGCCATTTACATTTGATCCAGAATGGAATCTCTATTCCAGAAAATGTTACAATAAATTAACCCTCCTCCTACTTAGTAGCGCTTATCAAAATAAAAAATTCCCTGTCCTGATCTGATAATTTAGTAGAAAACGATCCTGATAATTAAGTGAAGGAGAATATATAAAAAGCCAAATATATAAAAAGTCCATATATCTTTATATTGCAGTTATCCCTTCCACCCAACATGTTCTTTTGTGGTAGAACATAACCCTCCCATCCCATGACTTGATACCCTATATATGTTACTTTCCTATCCCTAGAAATTCATCCACTTTTGTATGTTTAAGTTCATCTATGTGATTAATGGGCAGTGTGTCAACAGTGCCTCAATCCCGTATAACAACCTGACATCAGATCCATTCAGTTGACTTATAAACAATTATGTTGGGGTCTTCATGTGGATGGACTGTCACGCCTAGCATCCCTACCCGTTGGAATGCTGAACTAAACCTACATGAGTTTAACAATATTAAAGAGCCACAGGTCCTCCATTGCTAAGCCATGCAGTCTGGCGGTGGTGGACATCAAGGTTTTTTTTTTCAGGGATATAAATCAGCCAAGTATTTAGATTTTAGCATCAAGGTACCATCTTAAAAATCCAACCTCTCTATGATTTTAAGTGTACAGTGAATATACTGGTGTTTTGGCCGATATTTAAGATAATAGTACCATTCCACTGAAAACAATCTCAAAAATATTGTCCTCCACTTTATGCCCTTTACCACGAGCCTCTATCAAAATTCAGTTTTTCTACCAACTTTATATTTGGGTCTGTGCTGGCTTCAAGAAAAGGTAGTGAGGAAATAATCATAATTAGCTGAACTAACCCATTGCATTATGGTTCAACAGAATTACATGTTATTTTTCTTCAAACCACCGCTCAGTTTGTTGTGCTCTATCTCAAAGCACTGTGCAGACCAGGAGATTGCAGTATAACTGTCATGTAATTTAAAGGCAGAAGGGCTTTGTTAACTAGTTGGACAGCTAATGTTTGTTTTTTTTGTTTTTTAATTTGCCTGGATTTGAATCACCAAATGATGATGATTATAATTATATCCTCTTTTTGTACAATTCAAGGAGTGTACAAAAGCGGGTACCAGTTTCCCCAACAACAACAAATTTGTGGGTTGGGCTGAGGAAGAGTGACTGGACAAGAGTCACCCAACTGGCCTTCATACCTAAGGGAGGACTGGAACTCACAGTCTCCTGGTTTCTAATCCAGTACCTAACCACTGTACTACACTGGCCTTCTAGCTTAGTTCACTTGCCAATGTAGTTTTTCACGAGTTATGATAATCAGAATAAAGAGTGGTGGGAAATTTAATATAACTAAAATAACAGGAAACTTTATTCATTATTCTGTAGATTTTAGACTTTGGCTTAGCCCGGCAAACTGACGATGAAATGACAGGCTATGTAGCAACCCGATGGTACAGAGCCCCAGAAATCATGTTAAACTGGATGCATTATAATCAGACAGGTAAATTAAATATTCTTTCTTATCGATTCGTACTATGATATATGTATAGTAAGCTCTTGGATTGTACAGAGTCTCTTGACTTGTGTATTTATGTCTTGGCAGTTGATATTTGGTCAGTTGGATGCATCATGGCAGAGCTACTGAAGGGGAAGGCTCTTTTTCCAGGAAATGACTGTATCCTTCCTACAACCCCACCCAACCCACTCCCCACCCCAACCCACAGATACA